TTCGAACGTAATTCGTCGTGCGTTTTGTCCCTTTCGCCCCTGTACGGTTTACCAATCGCTTCTTTCTCCAAGCTTCTTATCTTTGCCAGCAGTACGTTTTTCTCTTGCACAAGTGCTGAAATACGCATGCGATATTCTCATGTATCACGTAGGAAGAACTCTTTTACGTGGTAAAAGATCATAATACAAGAGAATCTCTCTGTAAAAAAATTTCTATTGAATATTCAATAAACTTGGAAAAATAGATACCTTCATTTTTCTTCTGTAGTTTCGCCACTTCGCCTGTCGACGTTTTGTTCGACATCGTTTCCATGGTCGACAGTCGACGCAGTAATATCTCACTCTTTTCCTTCTCTGCCTTCTCGCATCTCGCTCTCATATCATTCAACTGAGACCTCAATTTTTCCGTCTCATTCTGCGAGAAGTAAATGTCATCGTTAATTGGCATTTGTCACCGTAATCACCCGGATTTGCATATTCAATCGTCGCTTCATCCTCTCAATTCTGACATTCGTAAATAAGTTACAGAAACCATGAAACATAAAGCTAACGGTGCATTTAAAATACAATAATTTAATGCACTTTGTTTTATTTATCGTTGCACGTACGCCAAGTTTTGCTGTCAGAGACACAGAGGTCAGATCTGAGAGGTTTAAATGCATATCGGATATATAAAATGTGCTACCATATTATAAAACATCGAAATCTTAGAAAAAAATTTTTTTCCTTTGAAAATTATGTACAAACGTAACATCGATTTACATACAGTTAATATCTGAACGAGTTAATTAACATTTAAACCAAGTAGTGCACTTAATGGAAGTTTTGTGATGGCATCGCGAGAACGCTTCGTAATCGACGATACACGATATTATGAATCTGAGTGTATATTATACAAGTGCTTGAACAACGGCACACAACGACATGTAATATTATCGTTATTAATCGCAAGATTTGAAACGTGATACGTCCAAGTAACGAAAGCGACGATCGTCTCACCTCCTCGGTGTCTTCTCTCTTTACCGTGACATTATCCAGCCCGTCCCGGACCACCTGTTTCGGCGGTGCTGGTCGTGATTTCCTTACCTAAAGTAGTGTGACAAGTGAGGGCGCAAAATGGAATTTCACATTTGCTCACTCTTTTATCATTGAATGTCGCTACGCTACCGTCTGCTGTGCTACTACAAGGCGCCTTTGTATAAAGAAGACGTTTATAAGCGTATGTGAGTGTTTCGTATGTAGGTGTGTGCGTTTTATTGCGACGACATAGAGCATTCCATGCTGCTAGTGGGTTAGTCAGACGAAGGGATACCTGAATGATAAATTCGACGTCGTTTTCCGAACTACCGCCGTGGCTGTTGCTTATCACATTTTTTATTTGAAGCTTCGCCGGCTTTCTAACGTCTGCGACACGTGGATTAGCGTGATTTAAGAAGTAAAAAAAGAACAGGAAACGCAGCATTAGTTATCAAACCAAATTTAGAATTGTTGTATCGCCAGTAATTAAAACCAAAAATACTCAAGGATTAGATCGACCAAGGCTGGCACTTTTATTTTAGTTAACATTTTACCACGACGTTTCGGCCAGTAATACTGGTCCTTTTCAACTGGATCCTATTGCTTGTGACAACGAAGCTCTCTTGGTGACATGACACGTGAGAAGATGTACATTTCTATGTGCGATGACGATTAGCCTAATCTTATATTTTCCTATGCTTCGTTGTCACAAGCAATAGGATCCACTTGAAAAGGACCAGTATTACTGGCCGAAACGTCGTGGTAAAATGTTAACTAAAATAAAAGTGCCAGCCTTGGTCGATCTAATCCTTGAGTATTATTAGTTATCAATATTAATCTGACGTTTCGTCGTTTCGGTACTTTGCTCTTATTACTTTCTAATTTGGCAGCTTCTCCTGGATTCTTATCTATGGCGGAGAGGTCCATCAGGGATGTCCATCCAGTCGCCGCCGGTTGCGAGTGGCTACTCTTGTTTTCGTCCTTCGCCAAATTCGTGGCGGAGGACCATGTCCTGTTGCTCTCGGATCCGCTTCAAAATTCGTGACAATCAATTTTTCTATAGTATACACAATTCTACGCGACGTACCAATAGCGCGATGTCACTACCTTGCAAATATTTTCTTACAACTTACGCTAATATATCAAAGACGCGTTATGTAACAATGGGCATTTCGTGACGATTTATGACGACGGAAGGACCTACCGTGTCGAGTCCGAGGAAAGGCTGGGGGATGAAGACGTGATGTCTCCGAGGCTGTTCCTTCTGCCGCCATGCTCCTTGTAATCCCTGAGAAGCGATTATTTATTCGAGATGCGCGTTTCTCACCGTCTTGGGGCGGTATTCAATAGTCAGAGATCTTACATTTAAGAAAATGTTCCATACAGCATCTTTAGATAAATTCAAGACGATCTCGAATGTAAGATCCGACCACGAATACTGGTCTTACCCAGTGAGAAATGATTCGTCGATCGACGTCGAAACGTCGTCGAATTGACGTCGATTCGACATCATTTCGATGCCGATCGACGAATCATTTCTCACTGGGTAGTTTCTGCTTTTTAAGTAATTACCTGAAACACCGTTTGCAGCGCGTCGGCCACCGAACCTGCGGGTGGAAGCCCAAAGGGCAAAGAGGGTCGCCTTTCTTAGACGAATACATGGAGTGCATCCTGTGTGCATAATTTTCAGGATAAATAGGAGAAAATTCTCCCCGTGTACTTATTGTTTTCTTAGTTGCATCGCGTGACATTGCCGATATGCTTTGTATAATGGCATACAGCTCTCTTTTCTCGCAAGAGTGATCAAAGGGGAAAAAAAGGAACAGCCATTTAAATAGGAAAATTCAAATTCAGTAAGTGCACTTCGCAACATTCTCGGGAGCGTACGCTGAAAGCAGAGATAACGAGTGGTACACATGTACACATCGCCGATAACTCGAATTTTTATCGTCGCGACTGCATATCCGTCGATGAGTTTATCATTATCTGGGAATTTAGAAAAGCTTGCAAAACCGTAAAAAAAAGAGTTGCGCATTGAGTCGAGCACGTCGTTTTACGTTGACACGTCTCTCGATATTAAGAACTCCAGTGCGCTTTTTCCTTAACGTAGTCAATGGCTGCGGTCCACATGTTGCTGCAAATGCTTCAAAACGTTCTTCCCCTTCCTTCTTTATTAAAAGGAAAGCGAACAAGAACACCTGGAAGCATCCGCAGCACCAAATGGACCTTAAATAATAACGCACGTAACGCGAGAGCCATTGTTGCATCAGCGGCACTTTGCAATTCCAAATTCAACGAGTCGCGATCGAGACCTGTGGCGAGCGTCCTAATAAAATTCGCGCGGTGTCGAAATGATCGCAGGGAACCCAGTGAGAAGCGATCTGGGAAGGGATCGCGATAAAAGCTCGCTCGGGAAGTTGATTCGATCGACGAATTCCCGTCGGCAGCTGGCATTCGCGAGCTGCGTTATCGTCTTCACATATTTCCGACAATGCGCACAGGCGCGCACACACGTAACAAGCGTGGCACTTGGAGAACCATGCGCACCGGCGGTTTATTTATAAAATTTCAATGCCACGCTGTCTCGCTTTCCCTTTTTTTCCCCAACCATCTTTTGCCCTAACGTAAAACGGGGGACCGGAGGCGGATCCGGAAGGAGCGCGGGGGGGGATGGACTGGATTGGACGCGTTCTCCATTCGATCGCGATCGATCTCTTTGCGATCGATCTCTTACGCAATCCGTCACGTCGGGCTCTACACGACGCCTGGCTACTCACTCGATCGGCGCCGATATTAAACCCAAATGCGGCGGGCCGACGCGAATGAAATTTATCCTAGGCTGTTGCCGGTCGCTCGGTCAGAAACGGCCGTTCGCCGTCGTCTCTTCCGTCCCGAACGGATACGGTAATCGCATCGTAATCGCGCAACCGGACAGCACTCGCATCGTAAAGGAGAGCAGTCGCTCGCGATCCCGTCTTTCCCCGGGAGACGACGATTCCGCTTCTACCCGCGGGCCTCGCGCATTTCCTCCGATCTCTCTTCCTCTTCTTCCTTTTGCACGCGCCCGCCTTCGAGATTCCTACGCCGCGCGCGACGTCACTAATAGCACTGACACAGCTCCGCTATTACGGGGGTTTGTCCGTTTTCCCCGTAGACTGTGTGCGGGTATACGGGCGGTTGGACCTACGCCAAGGTGTATATTTGTCTCTAGCTATAAATATAGGGAAGCGCGAAGACATCTTGAGCGCGCGTCGTAGGCGCAAGTGCACGCGCCGCGGCGAGGTCTTCATTCATTTTCTTTTTTTTTTCTCTTTTACCGTGATCGCGCGAACGGAAGCAACACGTCGCGCGATCGGACCTGGAAAACTGCTGGAGATACTTTTCATCTTGATACATTTTTTTTTATCGTCGCTGAATATTGCGGTGGAAACTTCCTCGTATCCCTCCGGACTTCGGGAATAAATTGTCGCGGCCGATTAATCTTGCACTTGTGCGCTTCTCATTCTGCGAACGCGTACTTAAAGTGGTATCGAAACGCAACTTGTATCATATTAATACGAGAAACTACACTGATCTAGAGTAAAGATTGTTACAATCTCGAGCTGAAGTGGATGAGACAGACACTCTTGTGATGGAAAGCGTGGAGAACGCGCGGCGAAAAGACCAGGAATGTCCGATAAAAAAATGTAATTTCTTCAACGAAGAATAAAGTTGACGAAACAACTACTCTTCGTTCCAACACATATCTTGAATTTTTTAAAAATAAGCCCGATTCTCGAAATCATTCGAAGAAGAAACGTATACGAACATTCTGCTCTGACAGAAAAGTTGAAAGTCGATTGGTTAAAGCCACGCGAATAGCCAATCAACTTGCAACTTTTCTGTAAGGGCAGAATTTTCGCATACGTTTCTTCTTGGAATAAATTCAAGAATCGAGCCCCAGGACGTTTATGGGATAGGCAGATATTGAGAGAGAATGGTCGATCATTTCTATCAACTTTTATTAATACACCAAATACTTCACCCACCTCCGTCACATAGTACAAAATTGTATAAACGTGGTATATATAATATATAATACATTTATATCATACATGATAAGCGAATAACATGCCGAATGCGAAATTTTTATATTCTACACACCCCGTCAAATCTGTCTACTCCTAATCACCTTAAATCGAAACGCATTGCACATCATTGGAACTCGACTGTTCTCAAGGAGAATCAAATTCGTAAAATTCTTCCTTCTATTCGCGTGGCTTTACTTTCATGTATATACTAAGTGCATAACTGTAAAATACCGAACTTTTATTTTTCCCCAACTCCGTTTAAAAATGTATTAGTTCCTATATGTAAAGAATGTTTCGTCTCTACAGTTCTAATAATACACATTCTTAACGCAATTACGGAATGTCCGATAAAAAATATAATTTTTTCAACGAAGAATAAAGTTGACGAAACAACTACTCTTCGTTCCAACACACATCTTGAATTTTTTTAAAAATAATTTTGTGCTCTACTTGACATTATTTACAATACGTTTATTATACCCTCTTATAAAAAATTATATTAAACGATTCAGGTTCCACATCCGAAATTTCACTTTTCACACACGAAATACCTTTCAAAGTTCTATATTCTAGAATAAAAAATAACAAGTATAAATATAATTCATTTATGCTGATGCATTTTTATAACTGCGTTTGTATAACAACGTACAATCGCGTCTCAGCGAGTGACGATGCAATTATATTATGCTTCTTGCAACAATATATGGCTGATCGAGAGTAATTCCAAAGTTCTAAAACATAGTTTACAATACGCGATTTACAAGCAAAGTGCAATACAGCGCGAGCGACTCTCTTATTGCTTAACTGGAATGTAGAAACGCGTAATCTTCTAAATTGGTATTTACATAAAACTCTGATAGTTCAACGGGAAGTGTAATGTTTGTAAATTTTTATTGTCAGTGAATATTTAATCGTGTTCTTATTTCATCACTGTTTATTCTTTTCATCTATTGTTAACTCATTATTACGTACCGTCACGAGTACTTGGATAGTTTGAAATAATGGTGTAAAACATTGTTGTACGATGCCTTGATTATATAATTGGAGCTCGTACTTTGCTGTTGCATTATGTAAAAACACCGTGTTGCTCAATAGTTTTACAAACCAAATAGAACATTATGCACGTCTAACACGCGCATGTAATTGCTTCGGATTCAATTAAGAAAATTTTACTACTATTTACCACAGCTAAATGATGAGCTGTTGCGATTATTTATACATGCCTATATATAAAACGTCATACGTTTTGCATTTAAAAGTATAAATTACAGAGAGTATTTAAAATGTTTACGTCACTTTTCCGAAAATATCGAAGACTTAGAATATTGTGCAAGTTATTTTCTTCATTCGCGTACAGCTGTTTTTTTTTGCAAAAGTTTGCCATTTAAGTGAACATTAATCAAGTTTCTTGAAAGCTTATATTCATAAATTTGCATAAATTCGCGTTGTGTTTGTCACTGCGAAATACACGTTCTGAACGTTGACTACAAACTGAATTGAAAAACTTCCGTATCGCTATATTCTGAATATTTTGTTATATCTGAGTGACTGTACATATTTGTACGCATAAAGATTATCGCATACAAACATCATGGACGAGAATGAATGTTTTATTGCGATCCAGTATATACAAGGCATTTCTTATCATCTGTTTACTCCGACTAAAACTTTTATCAGGAATCTGAATCTCGTAACACTAGATTACATATCATAATTATGAAACTGCCGACGCCATTTTCGTAACCAGATAGAGTAGGATAAAGCGAGAAAGAGACAGGAACATATTTTGTTCCGTGTGTTATTTCATCAGCAAATCCCGCACTTTGTAACATCTTACAAATTTGCGCGAAGCAGCTCGATCTTTTTAGCAGCGCGTTTCTGTAAATCGGGCAATTTCATGGCAAGCCCCATGTTCCCTTGAATCTTGACTTTCCCTTGGAAGAAAGCCTTTTGCGGATTTAATTTTCCAGAAATGAAATCGACGATGTCCGTGTCGCTGATCGTGAATGTCACGTCCGGTTTGGTTTTGCTGTTATACTCGATTTTGCCCTTGCCCGTTCTCGCGTCTACAATCCACAAGCCTTCGGCGCCACCGGGGCCGTTTATGACTTTAAAACCGTAAACCCCGCGCATCTTTTCAATCAAATTCTCATCGTCTTCCTGCATCGCGATGGCCAATACCTTAAACAGCAAGTCCGCTTGGAAAATGCTCGAGTCGGCGGCGACACTCACGTTTCTCCTTATCACCGTTTGGCTCGGAAAGCCCAAACGATAGAGAGCCACGACGACCGCGCCGCCCAGGCCTATGTTATGCTGGAGGGCTAATTTCGCGTTCGGCACTTGCCTCTTGCCGGCCTCACCGCGAAGTTGCCAGCTAAGTTCGGCGCACTGCGCTAATCCCGTAGCGCCCAGAGGATGTCCCTTCGAGATGAGACCGCCGCTCGGGTTGACGACATACTTGCCACCGTAGGTGTTGTCTCCAGCGTCCACCATGTTGCCACCGTGACCGGGAGCGCACAGCCCCAAGGCTTCGTAAGTGATCAACTCGTTTACAGAGAAGCAGTCGTGCAGCTCCACCACGTCCACGTCGCTCGGCCTGCAGTTGGTCCCCGTAAAGACTTTCTCGGCTGCGTTTCTCGTCATGTCGTACCTGCAAAGTAATACAACATAACGGATCAATAGACCAGCGGTCCCGTCGAGGAGTACAATAGCTGGCAGTTGACTTGTCGTACCCGACGATATTCATGCACGACTGAGTGTTGAATGTCGTGGACAGGTCAGTGGACATTTCCATAGCCAGGATTTCGACGGCCTGCGACTCCAAGTGGTGCTTGCGCACGAACTCCTCGTTGGCCAGAACGACGGCTGCCGCGCCGTCGGAAGTGGGACAACACTGGAGCTTCGTCAACGGCCCGAATACCTTGGGAGAACTCATGATTTGCTGGAAGGTGTACTTGTCTTGGAACTGGGAATACGGATTGTTGGTGGAATGCAGATGGTTCTTGTACGCGATCTTTGCAAAGTGCTCGGGCTTGGTGCCGTACTTCTTCATGTGCTCGATCCCGGCATTGCCGAACATCTGTGCGGTGATGGGGCCCTCGGAAAGACCTGTGGCGATTACGAGCGAGTCAACTACTATCCAATACTATTCCGGCTCTAGTGTCTTAGAATCCTGCGACTCACCTGCGATATCCGCCATGAGCTCGACGTGCTTGTCCATGGGATTTGTACGGTCCATGTACTTGGACATGAGGGAGCCGCGCTCCATCTTTTCGAAGCCCAGCGCCAGGACGCAATCCGCGTTGCCGCTCTCGACGATCTGCTTGCCGAGGTAGAGCGCGGTGGAGCCGGTGGAGCAGTTGTTGTTGACATTGTAAATCGGACAGCCGGTGAGCCCAACCTCGTAGACCGCCCTCTGGCCGCAGGTCGAGTCCCCGTACACGTACCCGACGCAGACGGCCTGCACGCTCTTGTAGGGCACGTGTGCGTCCTGCAGGGCCTTGGTCACCGCCTCCTTCGCCATTTGCGGGTAGTCGAAGTCCTCCCTGCGCCCGGGCTTCTCGAACTTGGTCATCCCGACGCCGATCACGTACACTCTCGGCCTGTAGACCATCTTGTGGGTCCGATTCTTCGGGCGCGCGGACGAAACACCGGGGAGTCTCCCGTCGAGCGTAGACACCGAGCGAGAACGTTCCTTTCGCGTGCCGGAGGACGTGGAGGTCGAGAAACCGGGAGAAACCGGGAGAAAGAAGAGACGGCGCACGTAACGACACTGCCGCGGGACTGGGACTGCCCGAGATCGGCCGATCGAACCCCGAGACGAACTCCGCCCGGTGGACTTTAATCCTATGTATGTACGTCGCTGCAAAAATGATAGGAGAAACTGTAATGACAAAGCGTTTTTTAGCGGTCCCCTCGATAACCAGCGACGATCACGTCTCTCCACGGCGCGAGTAGCAACCTAGATCGACGCCTCCGATGATTGTATTGATGAATTTATTGGCTCCTGGCTCCTTTATTCCGGATCCAATACGGCCACGTCTAACCAATAGTCGTGCGGAGGGGAGATGCAGCAAATGGCGCGGAAGCGCCAAATATCGGAGCGGGGAATTTAAATGTGAAGGTTGGAGGATTTGATGAAAGCAAGAGTTAGGCGGCATAATTTTGCGGTAGGATTTCTCATAATGTTGTGTAAGTCGTTAGGGGAGGTAGGATATTGGCGTTTAATGTAATTTAATAGGAAGGAGCTTTTATTTCTGTTGTCAGGGCAATTGAAGACAATGTGGTTGATGTCTTGTGAATCATACCCACAAGTGCAGGAAGGAGAGGAAACGATATTTTTTCGAAAAAGACTGGCGTTAAGATTATAATGATTAGACATGATGCGATTGGCCAAGACCAACTCAGCTCTGGTGACGTGGAGATTTTTAAACCACGGGTGGGGAGATTCCCACTCATTGTCATATTTGCATTGATATTTATAATAGAGGGAGCCTTTGTTAGGAGAGGATGCGCGATGATATGCCAAGGTGGTGCTCTTCATAGTGGCCTTTGCAATAGTAAAAAGATCAGAACAGGGGATTTTAAAAGGCGGAGAAGAACCATGGGTAACGGCCAGCCTGGCCAGTCTATCCGCAATCTCGTTGCCCGTGATGCCGACATGCGCGGGGACCCAGGTAATAGAGACGTCCAAGCCCTGTTCCAGCAGTTTCCACGCCAGGGTTCTAATTTCATTGATGAGATAATTTTCGTGCGAGGTTCTCCATCCTCGTATTGCCTCGATTACACTTCTAGCGTCGGAGAAAACGGCAGTCTTGTCGATGCGATAATTGAAGGAGTATTGTAGAGATAATAAGATGGCCCAAGCCTCTGCAGAAAAGTTAGTGGTTTCAGACGGAAGGCGGTGCACTATGCTGAGATCCAGTTCGGGCGAAAACACGGAAGCTCCCACAGAAGATGACTTGTCAAGCTTCGAGCCATCGGTGTAGTAGGATATGGCGTTAGAGCGTTGAGTGTTAGTGGCTGTCAGAAAGGCGTGGTTGATGTCTGGTTCCGAGAGGAGGGACTTTTTATTCAGGAAAAAGATGCTAGGGCGGCTGTGAGTCACCGGAAAAGGAAGACAGAAGATATGGGGACGCGGGGTACAGTGGATGTCAGGTAGGTAATTTCGGAATAAAATATAATTTTTAAAAGAAGGGATTTGTTTTAATGCGAGGATCTTCTTGTTCTTGGATGTGGTGAACTCCTCAATGAGTTTTGCAGAAGCGAGGACCGAGTTGGGAGCCAAGGAAAGATTTTTGCATATAAATTTGGCAGAGAGATAGTTAAGACGAGCTCCGAGGGGAGGCTCTTTGGCCAAATGCAGCATAACGTTTATTGGGGTAGATAAGCGGAAACCCATGGCAGTACGGAGAGCTCTGTATTGTAGTCTTTGCAGGGTGAGAGTAATGGATAGGTTGCGGTGAGATTTGTAGATAAGATGTCCATATTCCACAACGCTACGTATGACGGCTCTGTATATTTGTAGCAATAGTCGGGGGTGGGACCTCCACCATGTTCCCGCCAGAGAGGAGAGAACATTGACCAGAACACGCACTTTGCTAATGGTGTTATTGATATGAGATGAGCCATTAAGGGTTTCTTCAAAAAAGATACCGAGGAATTTACATTCTTTGGTTCTGGGAATGGATATACCGTTGAGGGAAAGGGAGTAAGAAGAAGAGCGGATGCGTTTGTTTTTCGTAAAAATAATAAATTTGGATTTGGCAGGTTCTAAGTCTAGTCCCTTAGCGAGGAGGGCAGAGTATAAGTTATGAATTGATTTGCTAACTGACGCAAGAGCCTTGTTGACGTCAGTATGGGAGGAAAAAATTAGAATATCATCCGCATATTGTATCATTTTAGAATCAGGGTCAAGAACAGAAGGCAATTCCCTGACGTAAACATTAAAAAGCATAGGGCTTAAGATTGAGCCCTGAGGAGTTCCTTTGAAGGCATAAAAAGGACTGGTTAATGAGCCGTTATGTACGAAGAATATTTCACGCAGAGAAAGCGCATTAGATATAAAACGAGTAATATTATATGGTATGGATAAGGATACGAGATCTCGTACGAGAATTTCCGGGATGACGTTGTCGAATGCGGACGTGATGTCAAGCATTGATGCGACTGTATGCTTATTGCGTATGAATCCAGCACGAGCAGAGTTTGACAAATACAGGAGACAGTCCGAACATGACTTAGCATTACGAAATCCAAATTGTTGACTAGGAATAATATTATTGGATTCCAAAAACCAGTTTAGCCGATTAGAGAGACATTTTTCAAATAAGCGTGAAAAGCATGACGAGATGGCGATAGGTCGAAGGCCCGTGCCCGAAGATTTAGGAATGAGTATAACAATAGATTGTGTCCAAGTTCTGGGTAAATTACCAGAAGAAAGAATATCATTATATATCTGTAATAAAAGAGTACGAGCCTTAGAAGGGAGTGCGGAGATCATTTTAAAATCAATTTGATCTAAGCCAGGGCTAGAATGCAAATTGATGGAATTAATAGCGAGTTCTAGCTCGGAGGAGGAGATGCGCTCACCCATCCACTGAGACTCCGGTGAGTCCTGAAGGGGGGGAGAATAAGGGGGGGGTAAACAAAAAGCGGGGCAGTATTTGCTGGTAGCGGAGAAGAATGCGTCATCACTTTGAGAGGTGGATAAGGATGAGGAGTTAGGAGAGAATCTTCTTCTTTTAAAAGAACGTATGAGGTTCCACAAGGTTTTAGGGGGGGTGCGTTGACTAAAGGTGCCGCAGAAATTTTTCCATGCAGTACGTTTTTGTTTGCGCAGGCTATGGTTGCAGTCATTAAGAGCTTGAGTGTAGAGGAGTAATTTATCAACAGAGGGATCCTTTTTATATTCCTGTAAAGCGAACCTTCGCTTAGCGACGAAATCGTCACAGGTTTTGTTCCACCAAGGATTGGGGGGGGAAGCCCTTCTTAATGACGGTACTGCGAGGGGGTTTAAAAGAGAAGTTAGGACCTCTATGTATTTTAAGAGTTCTATCCACGGCATTGCGAATGTGTTCAATGAAGCTGTTATAGTCAGTGTTCAGACCAGGAGTTTGCGAGTCACCAGAATCAGGGAAACTGTCTTCCAGAATCATGCGCAGGGATTTTAATTCGATAGGGCTGAGTCGAATTTTATATGAAAAACGTAGAGCAGGGGGGGCCTCGCAGGTAACATATACAGCGATCGGAAAGTGGTCACTACCATGGAGGTCGTCCATGATATCAAATTCACATAAAGGAGCAAGAGAGGGGGATACGAAGGCGAGGTCCAAAGTAGATGCGTTGCCTTTGACGGGGTCGAAATAAGAATGTTGATCGTTGTTTAGGAGAATAAAATTGAAGTTATTAGCCGCATTGAAAATCTCTCGCCCAGCGGGGTTAGATATGCGAGAGTTCCAGTAGGGATGGTGCGCATTAAGATCACCAAGGATGATTGAGTGTTTATGATCATCAGCAAATGAAAAGATTTGCTGGATAAGTTGATGAGGAGTGGATTGATTAGGATGTCTGTAGAAGTTAATAACGGTTATTTCAAATTCTTTGGTGGTAATGGCAAGAGTAATGATTTCGCAAGAAGGGTGGGGTTGTATGGGAGAAGGAAGTGACCGTATGATAAGAGAAGAGTGATATATAGCGCAGATACCTCTAACGGAAGGGGAAGAGGCATCAATACGAACAAAATTATATCCAGGTAGATTAATATATTTCTCTTGTGTAAGTAAGGACTCTTGAATGAAGATAACGTCGCACTGATGAACAATCGAGGGTAATTCGGGAAGTTTGCCGAACAAGCCGCGAGCATTCCATTGGAAAATACGGAGGCTATTAGAAGGAGGAGTCTTAGTGTTGTAATTAGGTAAGGGGGTGAACATATGGGTCGAAGCTTCCCATTTGATTGGGAAGAGATGAAGGCCCCTGCCTGAAATTGTGAGAATGAATTGAAGACATGTTAAGGGAGCGAAAATGTCGTATCATTTCGTCAAGTTGAGTAGCGAGGTATTCGATTGTGTGCATGGCAGAGAGCCAGTCGTGTTCAGAGGGGGGGGGAGTTAGCGGGGAGATTAGTGGAAAGATTTCCGTTAGGGGAGCAAATGTCCTCCCGAAGGGTGTTATTTTGCGGAGCGGGGGCGCCTGAATTCGCTCCCGTGAGCTCAGCAGAGGGGGAGTGGGGAGAGGCCAAAGCACAACCGTTACCAACGAGAGAGGGAATCCGGCCAGATTGGTTGACCTGTAGATTATGTTGATCAATGGGAAAGGGGTAAGACTTATTGTTCTGTAGACGCGAAGGAGGATTATTGAATCTGGGTTGGCAGTCCGCTGTGTCGAGGGGAGGAAAGCGCGGTAAATGAGGCTTGTGTCGAGAGGAAAGAGATGCAGGAGGGGATGAGGAGGAGGGGGAAGGAAAGGAGAATTTGGCTGCCATCTCAGCGTAAGAAGGAGAGTTGGGGGAATGATTAAAGATAGAGTACGGATTATAGTTGCGGTAGTTAACTGTATATGGGGAGCGTGGGGAGTGTGGGGGGGGATGGGGATTCTGATTCTGATTAGTGTTCTTACGAGGGAATGGTGGAAATTCGGTGTAATTATATCGTGGATCAGATACTGGGGACGAATGGTAAGAGGGATGTTCCGAAGCTGAGGGCTCTCCCCGAATTCTGCGCCTAGCCTCGGCGAGCGAGATGTTAGCATGAGCTGCCAGATGTTGCGTTCTTTTGAACACCTCGACATGTGGACAACTGTGCGACGTGGGGCGGTGTGAACCACCACAGTTAAAACAAGATAATGGATCTTGATCTTTGGGGCAAGTTGCACCCTCCTCATGCTTGTCACTTCCACAAATAATACAACGAGGTTTGCTTTTACAGTCTTTAGAAATGTGGCCAGTTCTGTAACAGTTATAACATATTTTAACTTTGGGGATGTAAGGGGATACCTTAAGTATTACGTGAAAGAGCGTAATGGAGAGGGGAAGAGATTGCCCCTCGAATCTCACGCATATAGTTTTAGAAGGTTCGTATCCGAAAGTGGCATCAGGTTTTTTAACCCTACGGTTGAGACGGTTTACATCGATTATCTTAACATCCGAGCGAGATTCGGACTGAATTGTCCCAGTAGTAACGTCCAAGGGAACACCTCTAACGATACCCACACGTGACAGCTTATGCGCGGGTATGAAAGCGGCGAGTTTATGGAAACCCTGTGAAATGTCAGACACTAAGCGATTTGCCGCCTGGGACGTCTTGCATTGGATCGAGATTAATCTGCGGTTCAGCCCGCTGACCTCCACAATATCACGAGGCAAAATACCGATAGCAATACGGCTCACAGTAAGCGGGTGAATCGGGGAATCATCATTCATACGTTTCAAATGTACGGTGAAGGGGGGAGGGGCATTATTAGAGTATTTGGTGGGGAGTACGGATTTGGCAGGAGTTTTATTAATGGCGGAACTAGAAGTATCAGGAAGAAGCAGGGTACGGGTGGCGGGCGAGGAGACATCCGTGGCGACGGATGCCGGGGCCGGCGGCACGCCCTCAACCACAGGGAGAGGAGATGATGCAAGGGGACGAATACTTGAATTCATGTCTACGTCACCGTCTGATGCGTTGGGATGTCCATCCGGCGGGTGCTTCAGTGGAGAGTTCTTACGAGAGGAGCTAGTAGAACTGGATACTTCCGACTTCGATCTTGAGGGTCCTCTCTTACGCTTGGACGCTCGTGAAGAGCGTTTAGAGCGTTTCCCGCGCATGTCGGTCTCGAGATTATTACGCAGGCGCGAGATCGTTTCCTCCAGGGTGTGATAGGTTTCACCTGGTGCAGTCAAGGAAGTAGCACTAGGGTTAGTAGAAGGAATGGATGAGGCGGGTGTGATCGGCACAGTAGAATTATTTGCATCCCCCACGGATCCTTGATGATTGTCTATGTTAACTGTAGGAATGGGGGGGGAGGTGCTGTTGCGCAGCACATGGCTGACGCAAGAGGCCGAGGCCTCTTGCACGTGGTTAAGATCCAGCAAGAAATAGAGAGAAAGTACGGGATGTCAACGCGAGGATAGGGCCTCGAACGAGCGCGAACGCGATTTAAGTCGCAATCGGCGACCAACGCGGCGAAAACAACGGCAAACACAGTCGCACGGCGAAAGTACACTGTTAGCACGACAGCGGGCACGTCCGTACCGGTCCGCGGTCCGCGAGCCAATCGACGCCTCCGATGAGAAAATAACATGCCTCGCGCGAGACGTTAATTAACGGCTGGCGTGATCGCGAGGATGTTTCCACAGAGTTTTACGCGAATTCCAGTATTAATAATATCGATACGCGCGACGGGAATTTAAATGTTAATTCACGCCCGATGTTGTAACAATTGATTCCGTGAGAATCATCGATCGATTATTTATCGCTGCGTTGGATCTTTTTTTTCTCGCTCTCGCCAAATGACAAATCTACACAGAGGCCGGTATTCAAGTCTTATTTCAATATCATCTTAAGTGTTGTCTTAAGAAGCTAATACGACTCTGCGAGTGGTTAAAAACATATTGAGTATAGTTAAGATGATCTTAAATAATAATATAAGAACGGACTATGGCTGCGTTCGGGGAGATGCTATTTAGCGCTACGAACGTGCTCTGTCCTCGTTCAACTTTTGCAAGCAACAAGGACAGAGCACGCTCATAGCGCTAAATAGCGTCTCCCCGAACGCAGCCTATGAATACCGGCCAGAGAATCTCTTTGGATTTAATCAATTTTGTGGTATCCAAACAAATTTTATATTTGGAATGGTCGAAACAAATCAATGTTTGAATTAATAAGTACGATTGTTTGAATTTGAAATAATATTATACGTAGAATATTTGTTTGAAGCAAAAGGAACGTTCTCTTTAATCTAAACGATATTATCGTTTCATTCAAACAACATTATCGTTTGATAGAAAATATGTGAAAAAAAATGTGTATGCATGCATCCCTCTACATTAGAATTTAATTTTTCCTTCATTAGAAGAAGAAAGATAAACACTGAATTAGTACACTATGTTCGGCCATAATAAAGAATAGACCATTAAATGATTAAACTGCGTCTGCTGATGCGGTCGCTTATATGTATATCTAGCTACCGCGACTTTACTTACGAGTTCTGCGGCCATCTAGTGTGGCAGCACCAAACTTTATAAGCGCTGGCCAAATAATAAAATATTCTAACGTGTTGTGAAGGCTCCCAAATAATATAATTATTTAATTGAAAGATATTACTCCAAATAATAGTAGTTTTTTCTATCGAATAGTACAGGTTGTTTGAATAAAACAACAAAATTTTTATTCGAAACATGCAACTATCGGAATAGCGTATATTATTGGCAGGCAAAAATTACGCTTCCGCAAATTCCGCACCATGGGACATTAGAAAATATTTTTCGACGGAACACATTTGGCGGAATGCCTGTGATTGGACGGACTTCGTTCCACCAATTCCGCATTGCGCACGTTCCGCGTCCATGGGATCGCACCATCAGTTCAGCCATAAAGGACAGACCATCTGCATTAGTCTAGCTAACATCAAGTGTTTAATACGTATATTAAATTATAAATTAGTAAATAAATTTAATCATTATAGCTGATCAGCTGAAATACATTACTTGATACGCTATCAGACAATCGGTGTAAAGTGTAAACCAAGCTATTAAAAGCAATGTCCGCAGGAAGTTAGAGACATACTTATTTTTAGTGTTTCTTTTTCTCAGTATACGGAAGTAAATATTGCGCATGCGTGGAAACGAATTCATCCAATGTATATGTGCACGCATGCGCAAAATGTATTTTCGGAGGAGAGAGAAAGAACAAATATAGTTAAGGTTGAATTGTCGATCCATGTATGTATATACAATCAAACCATCGTTTTGACTTGGTATTATTCAAGAAATAGAATTAGGAAATATTAATTCGTGCAATATTTATAAATGAACACACATACATACATTTTTTTTTATTTTTGTAATCTCGATTAAAATAAAAAACTTGAATCCTGCTTTCTCGAAATCGTGACTGACTACGTTGCGAATGTCGCCTCATACAGTTTGCTGCTTGTCATCGACACGATTGTTACAAAAATATACTATTAACTTTTTCTTATGTAATCATAATACAAAATAACATATCAACTTCGAATTACAATCAAATGACATCTTTAAAATATTATTAAACATACGTGTTGAGATAATGCAATCTGATCACTTCGCATATAGTACGATAAAAAAAACAAACTGCTTACCTAGGGAGTTTTTTAGCTCCAACCAAATACACAAAAATTTATAAAATGCAGATTGCGTAGCATTACATTAATAATAACAATTCTATCTGATAACTAATATACTAATAAGCTTACTGTTATTGACTGTTACTGATAAGTTATCAGAGATAATTGGAAATGGTGTGGAAGTCACACCTAGTGCATTTTTTTTATTTATTTTCTGAAACCGGTTTAGTCGGTGGATTGGTTCGTATAGCACGGTAAATGTCTCTTATCAGGTGCAAATATGACTTCTCCATGGACTTGAAACCTGCAGTGTCAATCACATCCGTATATGTATTAATGAAATTTATTGCTTCTACTTTTAGCTGATCGGAACTATGGAGATCGGCAAGTATTAGGATTTCGGCCGCATTTTCAATGGTTAAACTTTTGCGAAGGGCTTCCTGGCACAATACTTTCAGTGTATTTAACTGGTACTTATCCGACGCTGCTAACAAGCCGCCCGCCATCTTTTCCAGATTCGTCACTTTACCGGTGTAAATAAATCGCAACATTTCTTTCAGGACTTCGGGGTCCATATCGTCGATGTCCACTTGATTAGTTTTTTTCTCTTTCATCTCGTTTTCAAACATTACGTTGAAAACGGGACTTTGTGCTACGAGAATTGCTTTATGCACCTGGAACTCCTTTCCACGAACAGTAAGCGTTACGTCGCAAAATTTTTCGTTCTCCAACAGCAGTCCGAAGTTGTTGAGCAGCTCATACTGTGATGATTCCCAAAGAGGATCGGATAGAGTGGAAGCTGCCATAAGAGCACAATGTTAAATAGCGTGGCCGAATTTCAGAGCCATCTACCAGCTCAGAGGCCATCCTAAATCCCCCCACTCTTCAATAATATATCGAGAAAAAAAATCTTGCTCGCCGGGAATCGAACCCGGCTCGCGCGGATGACGGTCCGACGTCTAACGCACGCGGCTATCACATACACTCGAGATATAAATGTTAAAAAGTGATATATAAGCTGCACGGTGACACACTACACGTAGTGTGTCTCCGAACTGTCAGATGGCACGAATCGCGGTACACGGCCAGCTTCCACTCTATCCGATTCTCTTTGATGATTCCAACCGTACTCCACGACTTCGGCTAAAGATATTTCTCGTGTCTGTTAATAGGCTGATCTCACAAAATATTGTTATATTCGCTAGCGATCTGTCATCTTTATCAGTATCCATACAGATAAAATCATTATAGCTCCATTTATCAAAGTCGTGTTGACAATAATTATAACCAGAACAATGTCCAGACTGAATGAGAGTACAGTCAACTTCGTTAGTACAATAATTAATAAATTCATAAATATAATCGCTCTCTTTTGTATTGTATTCCCCTCCGGTAACAAAAGCAGACAATTTGAACTTTGCTCGAACTCTGCTTTTCTTAGATGAAATGAGACAAAGATGTAATGATAGGTTACAATTCAAGCAGTCTATATCAAATAAGTCATGATTTACTACCAGGCACCATTTTGACCCGTCGTTGGTTGAAAATATACTCGACCTGAACTCATTCGGGTTCGTCTGACAAGAGAAATTATTTAGCGTCCACGTGTAGCGGATGTTCTCCATTTCTACATAATTCCAGCCCTGTGTCTCTTTCACAATAGAATCAGTATTTCTCTCCGATGGTAACTTCGCAGTGCAGTGCATCGTCATTCTACTGCTGCTGCACGAATTTGAAGTGATCTACGATGTCTGGGGCACACAGTCGTCCACCACAAGTTTGTTAGCACAGTTCGTCTGACTTCAACGATATCACTCAAGAAAGTGCACACGAATGAATACCCAGAAGATTCGAGAACTTTTCTATATCCTACAACCAACCAACATTTAAAAATATTCGTTTGTCGTGCGACAAATAAAATATTATCCTAAGAAGATATCATGGATAAGGAATACCTGGATAGAGCGTAACAGCGTGAGGTGAAACCAGAGATTCTTCTGGAAAGTGAAATGATGCTTGCCTCTGGATAATCTGGATTACAGAAGGCAATATGGCCGCGAAGCCAGGGATATCAGACCAAGGAGTCCACAGCAGTGATGCAAACTTTGGGTTCCGAGCGCCATCAAAGTGTAAAGGTACCATTTCATGCGCAGCATACTGCCGCAGCAACTCGCTGCTATTGGTTGAAGAATTGTTACTAGATGCTGCAAAATAAATTTCACCATATTTTGCTTCATCGCTGTGAAGTTCAATTGAATGAACAGCAAAGCAGCAGACACGCGATCTAGCCGGCCAGTGCTGCTGCAGCTATTCCTTTTCCATGAGCAGCAAATATGCTTTAGTGAATTTGGATCACGTGACTAATTTGCTGCTGCTGCATGCTGCGTATGAAAAGGCACCTTAAAGCCCGTGGGTGTTTACGACAAGTAATCGGATTTCTGGGGAGCGATCACGTGCACCGATCGAATTCGAATTCGAGAAGGAATATGCCATCCGATACCACTCTTCGTACATGATCAATCTATGGTCTGAGGGAAACTATCCTATAATAAATAAGCAAGAACCATGAAACCTGTAGAGTAGAAACGTATGAGAAGTCGACCGATCGAATTCGATCGTGCACGTGATCGCTCCCCTGATCAGACTGAGCAGTGGTACTCAATCGACAACTTGGTAAATTTCCCTAGATGAATCCGGATCAGTGGCTGTCTCACACCTCGTAAGCTTACGAGGTTATGTCTCTCACTGCTAATCTAATCCGATCGCTTATGGCCCGGTTTCACCAAGGCGAGTTAATCTAATCGGTTGGTTAACTTAACAGGGTGCCAACATAAAACTTCTTTATTAACCAAGAAAATAGGTTAATAAAGAAGTTTTATGTTGGCACCCTGTTAAGTTAACGGACCGATTAGATTAACTCGCCATGGTGAAACCGGGCCTAGGCATGCCAGAGGCCTAGTTTACATCGTGCACTTGATACGCGTATCAAATAGTGTATTTGAACTGATCAGCCAATGACCAAACGAATTTACTAGTTATTTACTATTTGTTACTATTTGATACGCGTATCAAGTGCACGATGTAAAGCCCGCTGCAGACGATGCTATTTTTCCTGCTGGATTGCTTGCGATTTAGTAAATTACTAGGAATCCTGAATGCTGAGTGGTGCAATGATAGTAATTTACTAAATCGCAAGCAATCCAGCAGGAAAAATAGCATCGTCTGCAGCGGGCTTTAAACTAGGTCAGAGACAGCCACTGATCCGGATTCATCTAGGGAAATTTACCAGGTTGTCGATTGAGTACCACTGCTCAGTCTGATCAGAAATCCGATTACTTGTCGTAAACACCTATGCCTAAAGGTGCCATTTCATGCAGCGTCAAAGCGCTGGATACAGTTGAGCCACAGTATAACCA